CAAAACCGCAGAGAACTCATTGTTTGGTGCCAGAAGAAATCCTCAACCGTAGCAACCAAATTGCACAACGGTGGCGCGGCTGGTGATCCCATAGCGACTCCTCGTTCTTGGCGGAACAAGTATCCGTTGATCTCGAAGTGACTGTTGTCAATGACAAAGTCCAGAAGGTGCCGGAGATCTTGTTCACGAAAAATTCGAGGGATCTTGGTTTGACGGCGCCACTTTCCTTTGAACATACGGCGTCGATGATCTGACTTTACTTCGTACACTGACCATTGAGAGGAACTGCGAAGGCCAACCACTTGATCGTATCGATGGAGAAGCACTTGCAGCGCCTGGTGGAATCGTTCCGTAGGAATGGACGTGAAGAAGCCTGACAGGTCTTGCGACACCAGGTGGATGTACTCATCAGGATCTGCTTTTGACAGCGCTTCCCACAGCTGCTGGACAAGTTCTTGTACTGGAAGTTGACCTGCAATGTCGGGGAAGGCAGCTTTGGTAAGTTCAAATATGAGTGCACCGAAGACCGTGAGGAAGGGAGCTGCCCATGTGCGAAAGAATGAAATGATGGGTCGAGCTTTCTGCCAGTCCTTGGTCGGCTTTGGAAGGATGCGCGCTGTGGGCAACGGTGCTTGAAGTCGAAGTCCCCATGCATATCGTTGACGTAGGAGAGAAGGTACCGTGGTTACCACTTCAGAGCGAAAGGATGCTGCGGATTCACGGCAAAGCGAGAAGACATCCCCCGAGCAGAATGTCTTCCGCATCAGTATGGCAAACAGGGACGGACAAATCACATGTGCGCGGGAGGGAAAATGATCCGCTGGGATAACAACCCACGAAGACAAAGAAGCCACAGTGCGCTGCAACGATGTCGATGACCAATAAGCCCGATCTTGGAGGTTAGTTCGATGAGTGTCCATTAACTGAGTCAAAACCGGCTGGAGATCTGAAAGGAGACTGGAACCATGTACATGCCAACGGCGAGCAAGTTTGCGAAGTTGCGTGGTGAAACGTTGATGCAATAAGTCGACATCACCGAAATACTGATCCTTCATTGAGGCGGCCATGATTTCAGTGTCAATGTCCGCATTGATGCGAGAAAACTCATCCACCATTACAGTGACCATGTGCACGGTGTATATGGTGATCATCGATGTCCAAACAGCGACACGGAAAGGATGTTTCAGGAGTCCATCTGCGCTGCCATGTGCGGTAGTTGTATATCTTGTCGCCCAATGTGGCGCTGCGAGTTTCCACCACCCGGATCTTTGGAATGAAAAGAGAAGGGAACAGATCCCGATGAGAAGCAATCCAGCTTTGTAGCCATGTGCCAAGTAGAGCTTTCCAATTCCGGACATGCAGCGGCGGTAAGAGTAGCTGTGTCAAAGTGGTGGGTAGTTGTAGCCGTCGTTTGCGCAACACCTGGGCGAGGAGTTTCTGCGCCTTGGAGCGGAAGGGCTCGTTGACAAAGACTGCGAGCCGCAATAAGTAGTACAGCTGAGTGGGAGGGAAAGCCGCCGACAGCAGGTCACGCATGACTTGGAACGATGCTCCTGTATTCGATCCCAGCTGATAGAGAATAGAGTAATGGGCCTGAATGTCATCCAGGATGTCAGGTCGTAGTTGCCGTTGGAGATCCGGATGTAGTCGTCGTCGAAAGCGCTTGTGCAAGCTGAGGGAAGTGGGAGACGACAACGAGTGACGTCGAAAATCCACGAGATGTTCCCGGAAGCCCACCTTGCGCAAGATTCTGTGTACCCAGGGCGCATTCAAATGCGGGCGTAGCAAGTATTGCCATTTGCTTTCTTGAACCCACACCGAGGAAACAGGAAGTTTGATTTCCACCGGAACAGCACAGAAGAGCCAGTAAGTATTGGATCTCTTCCAGTAGTGAAGCGCTGGTTCGAAGAAGGCATGCCGTCCACGAAGTAGTTGTAGAAATTTGCGACTGCGTGAGTGTTCACGACGTAGAACATCCTGATCAGTCGCCCCAACATAGTAGGGTGTGTGCCATGGGGAAAGTCGAATGTAGACGCACGGTTGTTGATGATGACCTGGATCGTGTATGAAGTCATAGAGGTCAGGAAATCGCGCCCGCAATGAGCGTAGATGTCGCGTGTCAGCAAAAGTAGAGTGCATGATTTCACACAAGAGAGAAGTCTTGTAGAAGTGAAGGACTTCAAAGAACGGCGGGAAGTAGCCGTGATCTTGTGAAATGAGACGTTGTAAGAAACTAATCAATAAATAGGCAGTGCACCGACATCTGTGAAGCTCATACCTGTTGGCCACGGTGTGCTGAGAGTGTGACATAGCGTGATTCGGAATCTGAAGGGCTATCCGGACCACAACTAAGACTTCGAGGATGAGACCCAGCCACGGCAATTGTGTGATTGATTCGTACTCCTCAGTTGGAATCGACGGTGGTGGTAGTCCAGGAAAACAGTACTGCCAGCACGTAGAGAACATGGTCAACGAGTGTAGAAGGTCGTCCAGCGACTGCCATTGTGCAACATCATCATAGATTCCGCAGCGGCGAAGTTCATCCAACATGGTGAGATACAACCAATGAAATCTACCACAAGGCGGCGACATGAATACAAGCATCACAGACAATCACACAAAAGGCAATGCAAGAACGAGCAAGTACAAGATCAAACTGGTGCAACGCAGAAAATTGACGGACGAGTTTTCACCTGGACTCATCCGTGACATTGTTGCCGCTCCGGGCTCATAAGAGAACGAAGGTCATCATGATGCCTTCTCATCCACAGAGTAGGCGAGCGGTCACGATGAGGTGACTCAATGCCTTCTCAGTGAGTTTGGTAAGATAGCCGGGCTCTAGTCCCCACGAAGCCGCCATCGCCCCGAGAGTGGGTGCGTCGCCTTTCGGCATGCGTTGCCGCGCCTGAAGGAGCTGCGTCGCCATAGAATCTAATGACTTGTTGCCGTTGAGCCGGGACGGGTGATTGGCCCACTTAACCAGCGATGCCAAAGTGGTGGTTGTGGGTGATTGCTTGAGATAAAGGCGAGGTTGGTCACTGGTCCATGTGTAGTACTTGACAACTTCATCCGGCGTGCTGTGCATGGTGAGCAATTGTGACGCCGCCGGTTTGGACGGCGGTGACGACACTCCGTGAAGAGACTGAATGATCCGAGGTTGCACCGCGCTATCAAACGACTTGCCATCCAGGGCCGCTGCGCTGGCTGTAGGAAGGGAGCTGGCAGGTGACGAGGATGGTGTGTGGTTGACCGGTGGCGGTGTAACCAACTCTGCATCATCCTTCTGGTTTGTCATCGTGGGAGAGGTCGAAGCGCGAAGCGATGCGGAATACTGAGCTTGGAGAAGTTCGTGCGCGCGATTTAGATCATTGTACTTTTTGACCATGTCATCTGTCTGGGTGGCAGGTGCGAGAGAGGTGTGATGTTGCTGAAGAAATTGAAGTACCAAGCTGGCCAAATGGTCGTGGACCTTGATGCGCTGATTGAAGTCATCGATGTTGAGACCCAGCGTGTTGGCAAGGTCCTTCTCCAGGGTGAGCAGGTTGAGTGACTGTGATCTTCGTAGTAGTTTGGAACAGGTACTGTAAGGCCTCGGTGCGAGTGCGAAAGCCTTCCCACGTCACGAATCTGCCGTGAGCAAACGGCCGGAGTAGCCAGTTGGTGAGGCCCCCGTGGATAACCTGAACCAGGCGTACGTCCCTAATATCCATGCCTGACATGTCGCGAAGGTTGCCACGCGGAGTGTTGGCAACAGTCATGGGCAGGCTGAAGTTGTAGAGCTGATTGACATCAAACATGCCATCTCCAGGTGTCCAGTCAGGCGAGGGTGTAAGCCAGGCTTTCTGAGGACGAACCGGTAGAGCCGCAGGAGGTCCAGGTGGCGGTGTAGGTTGGGAAGTAGTGACCGGTGGTGGCATCACGGGTGGCATGAACTTGGTTGGCGTGGGGTCTGGAGGGATCGGCATCATGTAGTTGATCGCTGGGTGTTGGAATTGCTGTGTGGGATTGTGAGTCGATTGAAAGTTGGTAGGTATCATCGGAAAGTTGTTGGCAGCGTTGTAGCCGGAATTGTGTTGCCATGAAACCAGGTTGTTCCAATCCATGTTCTCCGAGACCTGGCTGTCATTGTGTTCACGTCGGCGTGCTTTGCGAGCTTGAGGGGAAGGACTCCGATCACGTCTGCGCCGAGTCCTAGATCTATCTCGATCTTCACGTCGAGACATGATGGCACAACAAATGCAACACCGCAACTCAACACTCTTGAGAGGAACAAGTCCGATAAATGCAAGTCCATGCAAGTTCAAGCCAGCAGCCAACGGTAGACCGAGTGAGACGTCGCTATGATCTGACGGCTTTCTTCCCTTTAGTGAAACCTCGTTCCTGGTTAAATGTGAAATTCCGCTGTTCTATGATAAGCACGTTGAGGTCAAATTTTCCGACAGAGCCGGCCCGGGGTCACACAATGGGTACACCCGAGGATTCCCCACGAATGGGGTGTACACACTTGAACTCCAGATGGAGAGTGCTAATCTTTCGAGTACAACTGATGAGTCTCGAGTACAACTGATGAGTCTCGGCTGAGTTCTGCTTGCAAGTCACTCGGCTTCTCTCTAGAGGCGAAAACGTTACCCGAAAGAACAAGAAGCACAAACAGCGCCGCAACCAAGGGGGCCAAAAGGACAGCAACATCACTTTACACATGCAGGTACGCTGGGATGATCAGTCCCAGTATCACCACCGATGGCAAGTGTCTTCGTTGGCAGGAGACTTGCCATGGTGCTCCTGCCCCCTGCTGCAGCGGAAAAGGGTTTTGGTGGCAGGGTTTTCTGCCACTCCGCACACACACACAAAACAAGAAAACACCACAGACAGCTCGTCTCAAGATGGCATCCCCCCCAACAAAAAAGCGAAAACAAAAGCAAAACAAACAAATACACCAAGACACCAAGATGGCATGGCATGGCGGGCTGTTGGTGTCGATTTTTGCGGCGACCCCTCAGGATGGCCCGAGGGCTGCGTACCTTCACTCCCGCTGCTCGCAGCCCTTGCGCTTCGAGCTGCCAGTGGTGGACTGTCCGGCGCTTAGAAAAAGACGCACTGCTTGAACGCGGTGTGTGCCTTTTGTTCGAGGATGTTCGAGGGCATCGGTTTTTTCTTCTTTTTTTGCGGGGAGGTGCCTTAAGCTGGAAAGGATTGTTTTTCTCACAGGTGTTGGCCTTTGGGTTGCCAAGGGGCTTTGAGGCATTCCTCTGCGTGAGAGGTGCCTTTTGTTTGAGGGCATCCTTCTTTCTTTTTCTTGTTTTTTGAGGTTTTTTGCGCGGGGTCACGAGGACACGTTTTGTTGTCGGTTTTTGGGGGGTGGTTCCATGTGTTGTTTTTGGCGGGGTTCTCCGGCTCCTCTGGCCTTGACATTGGCCCCCGGCCGTTTCCGCGGGATGTTTGGGTTGATATGTTCCTTCCGTGGGTTTGTTTGGGGCAAATAAGCATGGGAATTTGAAGAGGGCCGTAGGGTGGGGTGTAAAGGGAATCCATCACTACTGGACACGTTTTCTCAACTTTTGCCTGGGGATGCATCCGCGAATGGAGGATCAGGTTTGGACTTAAAATGAAGGACTTGGCCCCTTCAGCCGCAGCCGCCAACATCTATAATTATGACCAGACGGGCTCAACAGGAGAGGTGTTAGCAGAACAAACAAATAACTCAAAAAACTCAGAAACAACTCAGCCAAAAAACTCAACTGAAAACACAGACTCAAAAAAAACAGACAAAAATGCACAGCAGAAGACTCAAACAAAACACAAGAGAGAGAGAGAGAGAGAGAGAGAGAGAGAGAGAGAGAGAGAGAGAGAGAGAGAGAGAGAGAGAGAGAGAAACAGCTTCTGGTGTACCAGAGCCACAAACCGGGCAGCCTCCCCCCAGCGGTGGCCCGCTCGGGATCAGGCCCGGGACTGGCTCCGCATGCGTCATTGCCAGCCAAACAGCTAGAACAAACAAGGGGAGGGAGGGGGAGCCAGCGCGTTACCGAAAATCGCCCCGAAAGGGCCCAGGTTCCCACGCCGACCGGGCCCGAGCCGGAAGCCCGTACCGCCACCACGGAGCCGTCAGCCAGGATGGCAGCAAAAGCGCTTGCACTTGCTCGGGTCTGCTGAACACACCTGTCACCACAAAGCCGTCCTCCAGGACGGCAGCAAAAGCACTCTGAGTTGATTGGATCGACTGGACGCGCACCACCTGCTCTCCCACCTGGCTGCTGTCACCGCCAAAAACACAATCTCCCTAAGTCAGATGTGAGCCCGCTGCACCCGGGCATGAGACCGAACCACCCGGGCGTGAGCCCGCCCGGGCGTGAGCCCGCTCCACCCGGGCGTAAGCCCGAACCACCCACCACGGAGCCGTCGGCCAGGAAGCGCCTGCACTTGCTTTGGTCTGCTGAACACACTTGTCACCACAGAGCCGTCCTCCAGGATGGCAGCATAAGCACTCTGAGTTGATTGGATCTGCTGGCGCCAACTGCTCTCCCACCTGGCTGCTGTCACCGCCAAGGACACGATCTCCCACCCGGGTGTGAGCCCGAACCACCCGGGCATGAGCCCGAACCACCCGGGCATGAGCCCGCTCCACCCGGGCGCGAGCCCGAACCACCCACCACGGAATCGTCGTCCAGGATGGCAGCAAAGCACCTGCGCTTGCTTTGGTCTGCTGAACACACATGTGACCACAAAGCCGTCCTCCCGGCTTCTGCCGCGTGGGCCGGCGCGGGGCCGCAAAAAAAACAAGAGAAGAAAAAACAGAAAAGAAAAAAGGCACTGTCGCTCCGAGGGCGAAAACGGAATCATGAACCAGGTGCTCATCGGACCGAAACGGAAAAAGGAACGAACAAAAAACAACAAGAAAAAAATCCGGTCCTCAGTGCCGCCCCCTGGGGTCCTGGTCGACGCGCCATTCCCAATTCGAAACCGCCCCCGGACCCAGGGGGAACAAAACACAAGAAAAACACGCCCATGCTGCATTCTAGGTTGTAGGTAGGGAGAAAGTGTCCACTCGTGCTTGGGAATGGATTGAGTTTTTTTCTTGTGATGTGAGTTGTTGCTTGAGTTGTTGTTGAGTTTTTTTGAGTTTCTTTTGAGCCTTCCCAGATTCAGACTATTTCAGATTGAGTTTTTCGGATTGTGTTTTTGTTTGAGTTGTTTTTTGTGTTTTTGCAAATTCCCGGATTTGCGGCCGGTGTGGGCGAGATCAAGTCTTAAATCTATAAATATTATGGTATGTGTTCGTGCCCTAAGCTCTGGTTGAACATGGCAACTTTGGTTTCATGGACGTATGCAGTAAGCTATGGGTGATGGCCCCCCTCATAGCCTAGGTCCATAGCCACAAACCCGTGGCCGCGACCGATTTTGAAAAGAGGGCAATGCGTCGGGCCTGTGAACGAGCGAAGAAATCTGCAGTGCCAGGATGGCATGAGGAAAACGGAGCATAAGCCAAGCCAAGGAAACCCAGTCAGCGGGAGCTTCTGAAAATAGAGGCTCGGTTATCAATGCAAAACTGGGGATCCCATTGCTTGGATTTTCCTATTCCCCTTCAACCAAGCTTAAGCAAGCCCCCCCACATTTTGACAGCTTATCCCTTTTCAATTTCTCAAGGTGGCGGCCACGGCGAATCGACCTTTACCTTTTGGTTTCCCGGATTTGGTCCACATTTCGTCATGGCTCTAAAGGTGTTGGTCTTTTATTTCTGGGTCCCATCCGGGGCAGCTGAGTATAAGCTCCAAGACCAAGTTACATCACTTTCCCAGGTTTCTCAGATCTGCGTGCCGAAGCGGTTGAGCAAAAGGCATAAAGCCTTGCTGGGAGCACACACGCCGCATGTACATTGCACACGTATATGTATGCATCTATATGTGTACATATGTAGGTATATTTATACAAAGAAGCCCAGTACGCATGGACTTCTCTTTGCATGCACGCATGTACATGTTGCATACATAAATTCACGCTGTATGCTCATACATTCATATATAGCTCTGGGGGGGAGGGCTGGTGTTTCGAGGTGCGTCTTGAAATTTATAGCATCAAAGACCGCTTTCAGTGCATGGCAGGCAGCTCTTTGGACACGAGCAAGTCAAACTGCAGACTCACTCCCCCTGGGCTCCACTTTTTCGGGAAGCCCGGTGCAAACAAACAGTTTGGACTGTCTTTGGCCTGTCCGCTCGTTCGGATGTGAGATGACTCTCTGGGATGAACCCCTGCTGATTAAATGGTTCTCTCCTAGTCGTCTTGTGCAAGTTCTCGGGTGACAAGCCAGCGAGCGTAATGAAGGTGGCTGGGATGCTTTGCGCTAGCAACCGACTAGTCAATGGGGAGAAGTTTGAGGCAAAGCGTGTGTGTTGGTATGTTGATTTCTCGGCAAACACCCGCTAAGGGTTCAGTTCATATACTTATACTTTATACTATGTAGGTGAGAGTGCCATGGTTTAATGGGCCTAACCCAAGTTCGCTAGTTACATCTATCATGGACACCAACTTACCAACTGGTTGAGCATCCAAGTGCACGCTCCCTGAGTTTCTGGACTTTCAGCTACATCCAAGTACTACGCTTGCGGAGTTTCTGGACTTTCAACTTTTCGGGAAGGCCGAACAGTTTTTGGCAGCCATCACACGTTCCATGACTTGTTTGGGCCAATCCACTGGTTGGACAATGAGACGCCTCGAGTGCCCCGAAAAGAATTGCAGAAAAAACCGAACTGCTGAGAGGGGTTCCCCTTAGAAGCCCAGAAAAAAAGTGCAATTTTCTCTTTTAGGATTTCCAGTTTGGTGTGTTAGCTTCGGCTTCGAAGCTGCTAGTTGGCCGTCACCCATTCCCCCGTCACCTGCGGATGAGGCTTGAACCCCATCGGCGCCGGAGACACCGTGGCGGGGGTGCTCATGGCCTCCCTCTGCTCCGGGGCAAACATGCAGGCGCGCTACCGGTGCCGCTGGCTCGGTGTTCAACTTCCATTGGCTTAGGATCGTACTCGTATTTGTTGTTAAATGTTATTTTCCCTTGTTGGTTTTAGAAGGATCTTATGGCGACTTTTCAAAAAGCCTTAAGAGGTTGATTTTCCTTTTTTTGTTTAATTCAAAGTGCCAATTCAATTCATGTTGACATCAGAAACGAGTAAACCAATCCTATTACCTTCGATTTGCTTCAGAGGATTTGTTTGTATTTTCCCTTGTGGGTTTTAAAAGGAACTTATGGTGACAAAAACAAAACTTAAGAGGTTGATTTTCCAATTGCTTTTTTTGGTTAAATTCAAAGTGCCAATTCAATTCATGTTGACACCAGAAACGAGAAACCAATCCTATTACCTTCGATTCGCTTCAGAGGATTTGTTTTTATTTTCCCTTGGGTTTAAAAAAAAACTCATCACTACTGGACATGTTTTTATTTTTTCTAGGGGTCTCAACCAAATGGAAGGTGATGCTTTCCTTGCAATCGGTGCGAGGGATGCAGGGAATGAGAAGTGGAGTCTGACCCCCTATAAGCCAACCCTATTTTTTAGGGGCGTTTCCCATTTGCCCTCTACAAGAACCAGGGGTTATACAAGGGGAATGATGCCGAGATAAACCATCCATGTTATGGTTTCCTTTAAGGCTTTAAGGGAATCCCCAGGTTCATTCACTCATTCCCTACCTATAGCACCCAGCAAGTTTCGGTTTGGCGTGTTTCGCTTGACGTCAGTGGGACAGTGTGGATGGCTGCGGAACCCATGTCTCACCACCGTTCAGAAACCCTGGGTGCGAAATGGATTTCGTGCATGCACAGTATGTGGCTTAAAGGGAGGACCGGATGTCTCGGCTATGGCTTTGGTTTCCCTGCCGAAGGTGAAAAGCTCATTGAGAAAGGGCAGTCGGAAGAACAGTGTGTGGGTCTTTTAAGTGGCGGGCTCGTTGAAGAACAGGAACACATTCGCACAGACACATGCGCACACATCTTGCATTTTGAGGTTGGCTGAATCTGGAAGTCTGGAAATGCCGATTTTTTAGGCCATGTGTCCCTTTGACAAACGCCACTTGGAGGTTTTTTTTTGGAGACCGGGTGCAGCATCTGACAAGGCAAGGGGGAACCCGGAATTATAGCTGCAGGGCCTCTCCCAATTTGACACTCAGACCCAAAAGGGTTACACTCCGTTTGGACACAGTTCCAATTCTTTCAGATGCTCGCCAAATTTCAAACTTTTCATGCTCAATAGTCAAACCTTGGGTTCTCCCCCCCCCAAGGCAAAAAAAAAACGAAAACAAAACAAAACAAGCAAGCAAACATCCCCCCCCAAAAAAAAAGAGGCTCAGGTGATATCCCCAACAGCATGCGGTGCTCTTTTCAGTGCTCGCACCACCCCGCAGCCCTCGCAGAACCTCGTGGAACCCTCGTGGAACCTTACCTCAGGGCCGCCCCGGACCACCCCAGAACAGCTTTCAGCTGTTATGGAAAAACACACACATATAAAGCAACACAAGCAAACAACCCCCCCCCCCCAAAGAAAAAGAGCAGCACACAACAACCGAAGAAACACCTTCCCGCACAACAGTAAGCAAAGAATAAGCATAGCCCGACTTGGCCGCCGAAGCGCTCGAGTCGGCAGCGACAGGAGGCGATGACTCTGGGACTGGCGGCCGGGTGCGCCAAGGTGCAGAGCTTTGGGCAGGGGGGCCACTTCGAGGTGGCTCCTCGAATGGAACTCGCTCTTGTTGTTTTATTTTAATATAAAACAAATAAAAAGAAATAAATAATGGTAAAGCATGGTTTTGTTTAAAAAAATATTATCATTATTATTTACTTGTTTCTCTTTTGTTGTTTGGGGGGGGTCGTTGTGTTGGTTCGTTTTTTTCCTCTTATTTTGAAGAGGGGGTAGTGTGTGTGTGTGTGTGTGTGTGTGTTTCGTTGTGTTGCTTCTTCTTGTTGTTTTTTGTTTCTTCTTTTTTGTTGAGGGGGAGGGTTCGTCTCATTGGTTTTGTGGGTGTGGTGGCTTTCTTTGTCGTTCGTTTCTTGATTTTGTTTGTTTTGGGAGGGGGAGGGGGGGGGGTGATGTTTTCCTGAGCATTTGCAGGCTAAACATGGAAGAATGCGCATCTGGGACACAGGGTCTGGCACAGCACCTGGTGTCCGTGAAGTACGACGTGGAGGAGAGGGCACAAGGCACGCTCGTGCGCCACCCGAGCCGGCCTGCAAGCCGCAGGCGAAAGCCGCTCTGTTTAGGTTTTTCTTGGCCTAGCTTTCCGCGCAACCTTTTTGACCTGAGCTGCGCTTGCTAGCTTGATTGGGCAGGGGCCGTTTACCATGAGGTTCCGTTAGCGGGCATGCGCTTGCTCGTCATGGCCCCCAAACAGCGTGAACGTCAACAAAAGGGATTTTCCTGACTGTAGTTCTGGCTTAATTGCGGCTTAGTTTCGGCTCACATCGCCTCGTGTCTTCGACGCACCTCACCTCACCTCACTTTTCGCGTTCCGCTTGTGGCTGCAGTGCCGAAAGTTGTGAATCTCGCGGCGGTGGAGGCGGCGGGATGGCTCGCGACGGTGGTGGCCATGCGAGACAGCGGGAGTGTCAATATGCTTGGCCGATCCGTACCTATCATGGGCTACCTGCTGTCCCGTGGCGACATCTTGCTGGCCGTTCGCGGCTCAGATGTCGGTGGCGCATTGAGTTTGTATGCCATGTCGCTCACGCAGATCCGCGCGCACCTTCTGCAGCTCCATTTTGCCATTGGTGACATGGTGCTGGAGGCTGTTTTCGCAGACCAAGATTGCAAAGAGCCTGCTGGCGGACGCAACACTTCAGATGGGCATCACAGAGAGGCTGCTGGAAGATCGCAGTTGTGGGATGATGAGCGATCCATACCGGAGTGCGCGAAGGCCGTGGCCCGCAATAGGAAATTTGACAGCAATCAACCACTGCTAAGCTGGTGCTCGCTATGACTTGACCATGAAGGATGCGGAGCTGGAGATTCTCGCTGCCAGAGTTTGATTGTTACATTCCTTGCCTTAGAGATCACGCTGTGGCTACTTGGCGAAGCAGGCCAAGGCAACATCGCCATGATGCTCTCTCACTTTCGCCGCCACGGACTGGCTATATTCAACTGTAAACGTTTCATACTCGGATTCCTAGGCTTTCAGCGGTTTGGGCTACACACAAGCATCATTATCGACGATTGCCAGAAGGTCAGGATGACAGGTGTGGAGCCGCTTTTCTGAAGAGATGGGGAGGGCGGCCCCGCATGCCTGAGGACACTGCTGGCAGTTAGAGACCAAGCCCAAGAAGGATTTTGACGCGGCAGGTTACGCGCGGGCCAGCCTTCAACCTCAGTCATCATGCGCAGCAAACAACCATGCAAAAAGCAGCACACGTTTGTTCGCAGTGCTCGTTTGTTCCTCGTTTTTTTTTTTGGTTTGGCGGGGTGGGGGGTGTTTCGAGGGTGTTTTTTTTTGGGGGGGGGGGGTGATGTGTTTTTTTTGCACATTTTTTGGGGGAGTATGGGTTTCTCTTCTTTTTTGGCCGGTGTGTGTGTGTGCTTCTTCTGTTTTTTCCATATATATATTTTTTGGGGAGGTGTTCTTGTTTTCGGGCTTGCCATTAACACCCTTCAAAACTCCAAAGGGGCCACGACCCCAGTGAATTTTCCAGGGCCCTCACAAACCCTCACGAACACTATCCAGGAACCTGGTTCACACAGAACAGCCATAGTTTTGTCTTCTCCTTGTCTCCTATGGTTGTCAAGAGCCCCCCTTAGGGGACCCTCCAAAAAAGCCAGCAAAAGGGCCCATCGGCCCTGTTCTTTTGGCTGTTATTTCGGCCAAGGAAAAGATGCTGAGCATCAAAGCGGCCATCAAGGCCACGTAGGATCCGGGACGGCTCCGTCATCTTTCCTCACGCCCCTGTTAACTCAGATTGGGAATGGACTTTGGGTGTGTGACACCCTTCTGGAGGGGTGGTTTTGGAAACCAAAAGGGCGCCAACTATCTTGGGTCCCCTTTGTGACTTGCTCGCCAAGTTCCAGCCGGGCGCTTGGCGCTGGTCTTGCTTCGTGCGAGCAGAAGGTGAAACCACCACCAGTTTGTCACGTTACACCAAACGCCTACTTGGAGGGCCTACCTTGGTAAAAGGGTACCCACCCTCTCACTTGCCCAAAGCGAAAATCGATCAGATCACTTTTTGGCAACGGCTTTTGAGTGGCCCCCACCCCCCACCCCCTACCTCCATCCCTAACCAATTTGTGAGTACTAGATCCATGGGGTCTAGATTTGGGGGGTTTTTGGCTATCTCGAATTATCTCGAATTATCTCGAAGATGTAGGTCAGGTTGAAAGCAACTTGCATGTTTGGGATTTGTTTCTGCATTTTTTGTCATTTGTATGATGTGTGTCTTCATGAATGCCGTGCAAGTTTGTTGATTTTGCATTTTCATTTTGTAAATATTTGTTCTAATGCTGACGCATGATGGTCGGTCATTGTGTTTTTACTGATCTTAAACCTGATTGCATCGGCTCGTAGCAATCAGGGGGCGGTGATGATGTCAAACGGTGTGTTTGTCGCGTTGCCTTCAGCTTCACCAATTTCAATCAATGATGTCCCGAATATATCATCAACCGAAATCCCTTCTGATCCAACGCATGGTGGAAGATGCGTATTACTACAGAAGTGACTGGACAGACATGGACCTGCATTTGGAAAAGGAGTGGGCAAGATTTGCAGAGGACGGGCTGGGCTATGACCAGGTGACCAGGTGGCCACTGGATGCAAGTGTGATTTACGAAAGCGAGAGTGACAGTGACCACCATGATCACTCCTGTCCAAATTCGAACGCTCTCAAAATCATGATTGGAAGCTTGGCTGTCGGGCTGCGGGTCCATGAGTTGGGTGAAATAAGTCAGGTCGGGAAACCTGTGCAGCCGGATTTGGTCGTTGCTTTGAATGCAGCTGACTGGCAGTACGAGCATGGCATGGAACGTGTGGAAAACACAGCAGCAGTAGATCGCCTAGCTTATGGCCTGTGGGATAAAACCCATCTACAGGGTGAGGAGTGGAACCTCTTCAAGAACGACTTCAATCGGACTTGGCAGCACATGTATAATGACATCAAAACTACACGGGCTTGGACTGAAGGGCGTTGTCGCAGCATCTTGTTTCATTGCCATGGTGGAGCGCATCGGAGCACATCTGCAGCTGTGGCGTTCCTATTGATGCACCATCGATGTAGCCTTGAAACTGCAGTCCAATGCATTTTGAGAAAGAGAAAGTCGCTGCGAATGTGGTTCAACAGGGAGTACATCATTGAAGCTCTTGTGGCACTGGAACATTCGATCTTGTCAGAGACCTCTGAGACTCTGAGCCAGGTGTGAGTTTCGAGCTCCAACTTAGTTTCACTTGTGTGTGACAGGCTTTGCTACGAAATGAGCATCGACATGTGACATGTGTGTGTGTGTCACAACCCACGATCGTCCGTTCACACTTTTCATTTTGTGCATTGCCAAAAGTAATTAAGTATTTAAGTCAAATTTGTCCCACTCCCTTCACTCAGAAAGTTGAATGACTGAGAGGCCTGGCTGGCGCGTTGATGCGACTTTGACTTTGATTCATGGACCTGTTACTGAGCTACTGACTCCAGGACGTGTTTGCAATTTAATTGTGCTACGGAAATTGTGTGTGACATTGTCGAGTCAACAAATGCATTGAAGAATAGTTGGATCTGAGGGTGACTGAACCCTGCCCATGCCATAGTAGTGTTGAGGCCGCCTCGCTTCCAAGATGAAGCGCCCTCTGCCAAAACGATAATGAAGCGCCCTGCTGCCAAAGCGATGAAGAGTCCTGCTGCTGCAAGAATCGAGAAACGTCCGGCCATGCAGGTGGATGATGACGAGGCTGAGGACCTGGAATCTCTTCGTCTGATGCTTTATGGCCAGACTCAGAATGAGAACGACTTCCGCTTCAACAAATGGCATTCGTTGGCGCCAAAGGGTAAACGGATTTTGATCCTGGCAATCTTCAAAGTATTTGGCGCTGATGATAAGGATATTGAGGAAATGACGCATTTCAGCATGAGCCTGAAGGACTTGCAGATTCAGTGGAAGGACATTACGGACGAGTTGAAACGGAATTTCAGTGATGGTCGGATCCGCGGATATATCTCGGCGGTGGTTAGGTACCTTACGACTCCAGGTTCTTCAACTACTCATGTTGAATGGCTGTGCTTGGCTATCAAGGTTGCCAGTGCTGTCAGGGGAGTCACGGATCGTCTGATTGATTCAGAAGCCGAAGCAAGTTCAAGCTCTGAAACATCATTTGAGATATGACAATCTAACCCAGCAAGCCAAACAGTGTGTTCCTTGATTCCATGGCAGCACTGGTGGGATGTGGAGCCGGCGTGTTTGAAAGTGAGTGTTTGAAAGTTGTGTTACCAAAATTCCGACCTGGCAGGTGCTGGTGGCTGAATCTGGACTTTTGCATCATCAGTGTCAGGAACTCAGGCTTTGCGTTTGCTGTCTGTGACGTGTGTGCCATGACATCGAGTCAGTTGTTACTGTTACTGACATTGAGTCAAGGAAAAACAGTGTGTTGGGTCTGCGCTTCTTGCATTGTGACGCCATGTCGCGCCGCACTGTTCTTGACGTTACTGCCACTCCGCTCGTCAAGAAGCAGAAAGATGAGAGCGGCGGCGCCAGCCGCAGTAACAAGATCTACAGTCACTGCGGGGCAGGCCCAACAGTTTTCTACATCCCAGTCGTTGAAGAGGCCTGGCTCACAATTGGGTGGGACTGACTATGTTACATGTGTTGGCCAAGTTGCTAATTGACAGATTAAGGTGTTGAAGAAGACGGTTTTCACATTGGTGCTTTGTTGCTGGCCCAGTGCGCACTGTGCATTGTCTTGTGCTGGCAGGTGAAATATCTGTGGGGGACAAAAGATGTGAGCCCACTTTACCAGCCGGGCGCGCGCTACCACTTCTCGCTGCGCTCGGAACTCAAGGTGGCAGTGGAGAGGGGAACGTGGTACCGGATGGACAACTATCCTGAGGCCCAGTGCCTTAGCCTTACTAACTGCTGATGCATTGAAGAGTTCCTAATCCACTTCATATTCATATGTGAGTGTGACTGGGACAATGTGAGGCCGTGCTGGTGCTGCTGCTGCTGCTGTTGCTGCTGCTGTTGATGATGTTATTGTTGTTATTGCTGTAGTTATTGCTGTTATTGTTGTTATTGCTGTAGGTGTTGTTATTATGTTGTTATTGTTGGTTATTTGTGATGTTGTTTGTATTATTGGTCTTGCTGCTGCTGCTGCTGCTGTTTTTGTTATAATCTTTGTCTTCTTCTTTCTTTTATTGTGCTTCTTCTTCTTCTTGTTGCTGTTCGTGGTGGTGATGGTGCACAGCTGCGAAATTACTAAAGACTGCTTGCTGGAATTTGCAAACAGGTCAACTAAAACATGGTAATGTAATCTTGCGCAGACACAGTCAGTTGTCAGCTGAGTCCGGAGATCATCTTCATCAAGATGTCCGTCACGAAGCTGGGAATGCAAAGGCTTCAACAGGACAAGATGCTAACGTGCCAGGGGCAAGGCTGGTGGAGGTTCCACATGCCCATCAGCCAGAGCATGTTCCTGGAAGAGGGCAACGCTGACTCACTTCTCTTTGAGTGTCTGCTATGCGAGACCTCGGAGCGGCTCGAATGAGTGAGCCAAACACTGTGTTACAACAGTGTTGTGATTCAGTCACGGGGGGCAGATGATGACTGGCAATGATTCAGAACATTAAATTGACGTTGCTGTCAAATATTAACCTTGTCATTCACATGTCACAGCAAAACCAGTCACGATCAACATCTGCATCTCAGACTGCGAATTGAAGTGACACTCAGTGACTCAGTCACTGTCACTGTCACTCACAGACAGAGCGTTTTGATGCGGAAGGGAAAAGATAAAGACTAACCTGCTGCCATTGAACTTACAGAAGCACAAGTGAGAGCCATGTCATGTAACTAGGTTTTTAAAGGTCTGCAAGGAGCCCTCACTCACAGTCACGGTCAATGCTGTGTCGTGAACTAGTGGTGATTTCTGTGACCAGGTCCGCCAGATGGAGATGCTCATTTACGGTGTGCTGCCCTCAGCCAAAACTTGACATTAAAAGCCTTGAGTCAGGACTCAGTGTCATTAGCTTTCATTTCAGTTCAGCCTTCGTCAATCTTTGTGAATTGCCATGCCTGCAGCTGTGATATGATCAGGCCAGACACTGTGTCATTCACTGTGTCCTGTCTTTGCAGCCATGTTTCATTTAGTGATTCAGGAACTCAAGGCCCGCCTTGGCCAAGGCACACAAATCAGCGGGGCAATTGCCACTCCGGAGCCTAGCAGCCCAGCACCTGCAAAGCAGCATCACAAGGCTTTCCGCTCTGCCGGAACGGTGGCCCTTACTCTGCCTGGGCAAGAAGGCCAGACAGTGTGTTATTCTTTGCGGTACAGATATCTGGGGGCCGGCTGTCACCGAGATGCTTACATGGTGAGTGATCTGAGGCACCCAGAAGATGAATTCAATAGGTTGGTGATGAAGGTGTCCAACAGCCATGATCGGTCGATGCAAGAAGACATCTGCTGCATAAATGCGGTGAGGGATCAGGCTCCGAGTTTGGCGAAATTCTTTCCCGAAATGCTAGCCTATCTCCCAGACATGACGTGCAGGGGGAAATGGAAAGAATCGAGCCATTGCCTGCTCCTGCAAACTGCAATGGGTGATGGACAGAGTGTGGCAAGACGAGCGGCGGAGCTGACACAGCAAGAGCTCTATGTGCAAGCAGCTCTTGTCATGATGCAGGGGGGCCTGTTTTTGTTGAATGTGCAGGAGGCGGCCTTTGACAATGCAAATGGCCAATTGATCACGGACCTGCACCCTGCCAACATTGT